AAATACAAGGAAAAATAAGAGAAATTACATGGGTGATTTGGTGATGGGAAACCCATGGTGATTGCAACTGAGATGGAAAAAGGGCACAAAACAATGTAAAAAGAAACTATTATATTAAAATAAATAAATAAGAGAAATCACCCTTCCTGCTGTGCCCACTCTGCCTTCCCCTAGATCTGTGAACACTGAAGGAACTCTTCAGAGGACGGGATTTCTAATGGTCCTTTGCTATATCAATTACTGTTTAAATATGTCCACAGAGTCTCCTTTCTTCAAAAGATGTAGACGCATTCCTTGGAATGTTCTGAATTGGAGCTGGGATTGGTTTTCTTCTCTGGTCTCAAACTAATGAAATGTGATTGCAGAACTGCCAGGGAGGCTATTGTTCTAGTTTCCTGAAAATAACTGGTATGAGGGAACAAAGTTGGCAGATGGGAGATAAGAAAACAAAAGGCAAATTCTATCTCGGGCTTTTTGTATTTTGAATAATGCCATCTGGAATCTGCCTTTGAAACTGATTCTCACTTATCTGGTAGCCTTCATCATGTTCTCCTTAGCTTGTATACTCTCCCTATGCTTTCTCTTCTTCTCTCAGGGCCTCTGCCAGGATCAAAGCAATGCTGACTCCCCAACTTAATTTACCCAACCCTCATCTCCAATTCTGCCTCCAGACCCACCAAAGTCTTTTATTTTGGATATTTTCAGCATGTGTGTCTTGGACACATCAAGCAATGCAATGAGAGCAACTCATCTTCAAACCTGTTCTTTCCTGTATTGTTTATTCTGATGAATGAAACTAGCAATTGCTGAGTCATCCTGTTATCTCATCTCCAAATTATGTGAATATTTTATGTATTAAAAATGTGAGCTTTCAGGCCCTCCCTGGTGGCACGGCGGGTTAAAGCACAGCACTGAGAAGCTAAAGCCACTTCCGCATGAGTTCGATTCCAGCCTGCCCCGGAGGTGACCACATGGCGTGGGAGACCTCTCCTGACCCGCCTGCTGCTCCCCTCAGCAGTGTACTTCGTCGATCTTCCTGTTCTGCTCCCCACTCTGTCTCTGGTGAAGCCTCTTGCCACCCCTGAGCCTCTGGCCTGTACCCAAGTTCTGTATGCACAAATAAATAAATCTTTAAAAAAAAAATGTGAGGTTTCCAATTACGTGCTGTCCACAAAACACCACAGAAGCACATAAGTAGATTAAAAGTTAAGGGATACAAAAAGTTACATCATGATAACTAATCACAAGGAAGCTGGAGTAGGTATCCTAACTTTAGACAAATTAAACATCATTGTTAGGAATTAGGAGGGATATTGTTTAATAATAATAGGGTCAATTCTTTAAAAAGACATAACAATATTTGGCCCCCCCTGGTGGCACAGCAGGTTAAAGCACAGCACTAAGAAGCTTAAAGCCACTTTAGCATGAGTTCGATCTTCGCCCCGAGGTGATCCACA